AGGATACCCTCTTCAATAAATGATTCTGAGACAACTGGATATCCAAATTCAAAAGAATGAATTTGGATCTCCATCTCACAAAAATTAGCTCATAATGGATGATAGACCTAAATGCAGGAGGTAAAATTAAAACTCCTGAGGGAAAATATAGGGGTAAATCACCATGAACATAGAATATGAAATGGTTTCTTAGCTAAAACACCAAAAGCACAAGTAACAAAAGAAAAAAATAAATTGGGCTTCATGAAATGAAAACCTATGCTGGAAATGATTCCATTACAAAAGTGAAAGGACAGCACAGAGAACAGGAGAAAATATTAGTGATTCACATACCTGACAAGGGATTTATATCCAGAATATATAAAGAACTCTCACAATTCAGTAACAAAAAAGCAAAAAAAATTTCTTAAATGGGCAAAGAATCTGAACAGTCATTACTAAAAAAAAAACCTACAAATGACCAGTAAAATGAAAAGATGCTCAAAATCATTAATCATCAGGGAAATGCAAATCAAAAGTACAGTGAAGTAACACTTCACACCCACTAGAGTGGTTAAAATAAAAAAGACAGACAATAACAGAGTTGATGAGTATGTGATATGGAGAAATTGGAAATCTCTTAACATTGCCAATGGGAATGTAAAATGGTACAGCCTCTATGGAAAACAGTCTGTTCCTCAAAAAGTTAAACAGAGAGTTACCATATGACCCAGCAATTCCACTCCTAGATATATACTATGAGAAATGAAAACATGCCCACACAAAAACTTATACACAAATGTTAATAGCAGCATTATTCATAATAGCTAAAAAGTAGAAACAACCTAAATGTCCACTAACTGATGAATTTTAAAAATGTAGTATAATTATATAATGGAATATTATTTGGCAATAAAAAAGAATGAAATACTATATAGGCTACAATATGGATGGGCTTGGAAACCATTATGCAGGTGAAAAAAGCCAGTCACAAACGATCAAACACGATTCCACTTATATGAAATGTCCAGAATAGGCAACTCCATAGAGACAAGAAATAGATTAGCTGTTGCCTGGGCCTGCGGTAGGGTATGGGAATGAAGAGTGAATGTCAAAGGATAAGGGGTATCTTTATGGGGTGATGAAAACATTCTGAAATTAGGCTGCAGTGATGGTTGCACAATACAGTCAGTCATGTGCTGCATAATGATGTTTCAGTCAGCAAAGGACCACATATGTGGCAGTGGTCCCATAAGATAATAATGGAGCTGAGAAATTCCTATACCTAGTGATGTCATAGCCATTTAAAAAGTAAAAAATAAAAACAAAAATTTTAAAAAAATAGATTACGTTTTGTAATGATGAATATGCTAATTATTCTGATTTGATCTTCACATATTGTACACAAGTATTGATAGTCAACTCTGTACCCCACAAACATGTATAGTTGATTGTTTCAATTAAAAAAAATAAACCACATTAAAAAATGGAAAAAAGCTTATAAATAAGGACACGAAAAATAAAATATTTTAGTACAACCATAAATGTGTTTGTGTTTTAAGCTAAGTGTTAAAAGTTTTAAATAATTAAAAAGTTTATAAAGTAAAAAAGTTATAGTAAGCTAAGTTTACCTTATTATTAAAGAAAGAAAAAAAATTTTTATCAACTGCAGGTTCTGAACAGAGAGTGCAAAGGGAGAAAAACAATCGCTCAAAATAATGAGAAAACAAAGCTCCTACTACATCTGGGCCACGACTGACTGTTGTGCAGATTTTTATCAACTGCAGGTTCTGAACAGAGAGTGCAAAGGGAGAAAAACAATGGCTCAAAATAATGAGAAAACAAAGCTCCTACTACATCTGGGCCACGACTGACTGTTGTGCAGGTGAACATCTGACCACAAAGGAACTGAGCCAGTCAAAATTCTTCCCCTCTCCAAAACGTTAACTAAACACAAGAGATCAAGTTAGCCAGTGTGGGACCTTAAACGGAAGAGAAAGGTAGAGTTGGGGCTGGAGCAGCTACTTCCCTGCCATGTCCCATCTGAAGCAGTAACATTCAACCTGCAAATTAATGCTACAGACCCCAATGGGCCCCTAGTTCTAGAGGACAAGGGATACATGGGAACACTCCAGGACCTTACAATAANAATGGGCCCCTAGTTCTAGAGGACAAGGGATACATGGGAACACTCCAGGACCTTACAATAAATCTCCTTCTTCCTTGGCCTCTTGGTGGGGGTTTCACATCCTTACAACCAAAGATTCCTGGTTCAGACAGGCAGTGAGCTTTCTTTTGTCATCCAAGTACCCCACCCTACAACGGATGTCCGTTCATGGTTCTAAGGGCCTCCCAGGTTGGGTAACCGCTGAGAGAAAGGACGGGCTGCACGGAGGGGCAATCGGATGCTATGGCCCTCCACACACCTCATCATGGCCCTTACGTAAAAAGGTAACCTAACTCAGCAAGGTGCGATTCAATGTTCTCAACCCACTTTTTTAATTTCTTCACTTGTCAATATCATTAGCAGAGTTTTTAGCATATCTTGCAAGGCTAAAAAAACATACTTAGTGATACTTTGTTATTGCTACTCTTTGAGCTACGCAATCAATGCCTGCTTTGGGTTAACTAGGTTCTGCGTGTTGGAAGGCCCTGTGAGCTCTCTTAGCACAGCAGGCTGCAGTCTTGCTCCTTGTGGGCAGCAGAGTCAGCACTCACTGCTGTCCCTCCCGGCCTCCTGCTGGGCAGCATGCCAAGATGCCAAACACACCCCAGGAGAAATGCAGGGATTAGTTCATCTCTGCCAACTCTAGACCACACCTGTCTTGAATGGCTGCTTCTAACTCTAACGGACATAAGAGAAGGGAAGAGTCATCCTACAAGGGTCTCGCCCTGGGAACGCATCTGACTGTCTGGACCACAGCCTGCAGGCTGACTGCAGCTAAGGCAGTGGTGGCAGCCGGAGATAGGTCTGCAGTGCCTAT